GATTTGAAAAAAAAATTCAAGAAATCCGGAATTGAGAACGGAAGCCAGGAAGAAACCCTTCCTCGAGGAACAGGTGGAGCTTCTGGTCCGCCAGCATTGCGAGGATCTGGAGCATTGAGTGAGTTTCAATTAGTATAGTAATAGTCGACCTATTCGCGAATTCCGTTTGGAAGTTCACTACCCGATTATAGTTGAGCAACCTATCGAATAAATTTGTCAGCACAATCGAAAGCATCATTTTGTTTAATTTGAAACATTTTACGTGAGGTAGATTTCTCATTTGAACAGGGAATTTTTTTTTTTTGGACTAGAAATCCACTATCCGAAGCAGAAGTTAACGGCTGACCGACCTTAAATGTGCGAAAAATGTATTTCTGATTTTGAAACGTCGATCATCTGGGGTATCGTTGTATAGAGCAGTTTTACCTAATTCTAGTTCGAAGGAATTGGAAGAAGCCTATTTTTCGGAAGATAATGTTTGTCGAGATTCAACTGAAGGATGAGTCGCGACATGAGAATCAATATTTTTTTTTAATGAAAGATTTGGAAAATTTCGGAAAAGCAGACCTCAAAATATGATGTCCCTCACCCCGACAATTGTTTTTTTTTTTCAGATGTTACACCAGGCGGCGGTCGTAGCAGAAGCAGGCTGGAAGGAGCGGGACGTCGTTCCGGGGCGGCAGCAGTTGGAGTCGGTGGGCCAGCAGCAGGAGGAGGAGCGACGGGCCAGAGCGCGAGACAGGAAGCGCGGAACCGGACCCAGGAGGAGCTGCAGCGTTTGTTGAAGGAGATTGAGGAAGCTGATGGACCGCAGCTTGTCAAACTCGGCGACGCCTCCATCGCTGCCCCCTTCACCTCCAAAATGACGTCCGTTTTGTGTGGTTAGTCTCATATAGGAGCTCTTCCTTCTAATATTCCATGCCTCCGATTTTTACGTGAACAATGAAATCAACAAATACAGTACACGATTTGTGAAGACGATCCACAGTGAAGACTTTGGCGTGATCCCGAGAAAACAATCCCATATTCCAATAAATCTCCTTGCGAAGCCAGAGAAAAAATTCGTTCTAATGACATTTTTAGTTCTTTTAGAAACGTTATGAGAAATGAGGAAATATTGCTATGAGCGTCTTCAAATGAAAATTATACAACTAGAAAATACAATTACTGACTTTTATGTCAGACCTTACCTTTCTGAAAATTCCTTTAGAAAAATCAAAGAGATTCGAGCCTCATGCTTGCTGCAATGCTAAATTTTCTTTTCAAGCAGAGTAGCATTCATATTTTTGAAAATATTTCAATTCAAGTCGAATTTGGTTTCCGCGTATTGTGCCTTAAAAAATGCTCATGTCCTTCACACAAAAGCAAGGCAAAAATTCGTTCCTTCGAATTTTCAAGAGAAAAATTTTAAAAACCATGGGTTTTTTTGATCGAAGATTCGCCTCGCGGGATTTGGCGCCAAAGCTCGCTTTGATCTGACACACTGAAACAGATCTAGAAAGTGAGTTTTGATGCTGATCCCGCGACGGCGTCTTCCTCGTGTGCTCCTGTTCGTATCCAGACACCG